CCAGAAATCTTGACTTACAACAAAAGTGGGCACTGCCCTACCTATTGGAGAAGTTTGGTTTCATTGGTGGGTATATTTGTTTGGTTTTTAGAGAAAACTCTCCTTGTCTTTTAAAAAGACTTAATAAGGATCCAAATACTTTAACTTCGAATTTCTCAAAAAAGCATTTATCGGGATAGCCCTCTTGTGCTTAAAAGCGACCAATTGTACCGCCATTTGTGGTGTAGTCGTCAGGCGCTTCAAAGTTGAGCGCAGAAGACCCGAGTAGTGGGGAGTATTTTCTCGAGTATTTTTGTCCTTCTGTTGGGAAGTTCTTTCCATTTCAGCTCGGATTGGTCCTGACATTCAAGATCGGAGATTACCTCCTAAATGCCCTAAAGGTGTCGATGGGTGCATAAAAACACAAACATTATTTTTTTAAATTAATCATAATTGTGTCCATGGAGGCTACATAGATTTACAATCGAGATAAATTTGGTTTACGACCTGGATCTGTAATTTTCTGTGTAACTTTGTACTGACTGGACGATAGCCTAGCTTAATCGTGATTTTAGAAGATGGACTCTGCCTTTACTTTACAGTCTTTAGTCTAGCCTAGATCTAGTCATGATCTAAAAATAACCCAAATCAAACCGCCTTACATTTTATTTTTCATATGTCTTTAGCAAGTTGTCGTGTCGGTCGTTACACTCTTTTTGTCATACATATTCAAACCTATTTTGCGTACACCAAGTTGTAACAACCGACTATTACTTTGGTTTTTCAACCTGGGTCTAAAATGTTCCATGCAACTTTGTACCGACAAGAAAGCAGCCAAGCCTAGTTCTGATTTTAGAAGCTGGGAACAGCCTTTCAGGACTCTAGTCTAGCCAAGTTGTGATCAAAGAAACTCTATACAGCCTTACGTTTCGTTTTACAAACTTCTTTAGCAAGTTGTCATGTCGGTCGTTACACTATTATTGTTAGGCATACTTTACTTTACTTTTCCGATCCAGCGGCCATTTGGGTTCTAGCCCTTCGGTCTGTCGATATTGCAAAGAATTTGCAGCTTTTAATCAGCATTGTTAGGCATAAATCGGCTGTATTGTATGTACGTCTAGTTGTAACAACCAAGCATTAATTTACATTTTCAACCAGCATCTACA